ATTTTCCTGTAGAAGTTATCATTTGTATCTGCTTCCTTCGATCCCTAGCTTTCTCTAAACTTAGCAAAAGCTGCGCCAAGTAGATTAAAAAATAGGAGAACGACATGGTCCCCATTTATTCAGAGTGATTTTTCTGAAAGTGATTCCAATTTTCAAGATGCCTTGTAGTAAGGGATAAAAAAGAACCCTAGAAACGCGAACCGGCAACTGTTTGGAAATGTCACGTCTGCATTCAAACCTACCCCTTTCTTCCTGAAATTCAATAGTCCCTTTTGAATAAATGAAATCTTTTCTTTAACTTTTCGATCCCCGATGTCATAGATTGTATTCTTCCCATCAATATTTCGATACTAGATACTTCACTTCCCCCCCCCCTTGATCCTAGCTTTTTATTCATTTATTTATCGTTTTTGTTGTTGTTACTACTTTTTTTCTTTTGTTAGTTGCTATTTCCTCCGATAACTGAAGTAAAGAACCGTGTTTTATGGTTGACAAGGATTTTTAAGTCTTAGGCTATAAAATACCCGATACCTACGCTAGGATTGGCTGCCCGCAGCCCTCAGGCATTTTGAGGACTTTTAAAGCCACTAAGGATCAGAGATGTAACAGGAGGAAATGCATTTGAGGTAAACTGCTTGTCTGAGTTAAACTCAGCCTACTGGAACTACGAAAAGAAAGGGAGAGTGGGAAAAATCTAGAAAACATCATCGAGTAAACGCCGCCATTTTTGAAGATTTTATCAACTTTATGACAGTTGAGTCACAAATATTGATACTTAGAGTTCCGTGAGATTAAACTAAGATGGGGGAAAATTTATTTTTATATTCTTTGACTTTGATATATCGGTACTTCAGTGGATAAAAGAGAGACTTCCGAAGACTCTGCAAAGAAATATATATATAAAAAAAAGTTGTTAGGATTAAGGCTGTAACTGGGGTTTACTTATCGTTCACTACATTTCTTAAGATTTTGAAACTGAAAATTTATATAAGCTCTTGAAAGAAGATGACCCTAGATTATTCAAGAGTTGTTTGCTCAAAGCTAAGAATGCTCCTTATCTTATAATAATAAACTCTTATTAATACGTTTGTTTTAACTTTATGGACATCTATATTTTACAGCTTTGCATAGATTTTTGTGTGTGTTACAAAAAATATATAGTGAATGAATAAATATTTTATTTATGCACTATTTTAGCTGCATTTTTCCAGTTTTATATCTTCTCTTATTCTGAATGAAATTTGTTTGTTGGAAGAGTTTCACACACACACACACATATATATATATTTTGGGGAGAAGCTTCAGACTCTGACTACTAAAATTCCCTATTAAATATGCAGAAACTAATACTTACATCAAAAGACACAAGTACAGATTCATTATATTAAAAACATTCTTCTAACTTCATTATAGTAGCATCTTTTCCCATACACGAAAGAAATGGCATTCAGACTGGAAAGAATTTTGTGTGTAAAAACTTACAATAAATAATTTTGCATGTAAGAAATTACAATGAATCGGTCAAGTAAAATATTACGAAGAAAATGTCAATATATTATTAACAACGGTCACTAAAACAGCAGTGTGTGACGATGATAAAATAATTAACCTTTCATAATAATTTTTTTAACTTCGCTAATATTTCTTTATGCTTGATCAGACAGCCTGGCTCAGTAAAAGTAGGCGGCCAGTGCAACTCTGATTAAAAATCTAGTTATAACCACGTGCAGTGCTGATAAGCACCACGTGTTTCTGTGATTCCTATTTTCTTTCTATGTATTTCTTTCTCCTGATGAGGAGGGACCTTTAGCTGCCCTCGAAATCGATTGAGTGTTTCATTATACCTACGCTAAAATATAAGGTTGTTTTTTACGATTTTGACTTTCATAATAAGTTCAAATATTTTTCTACAGGTCAATGTTTTACTTCTATCCGTTAACTGAAAAAAAAGCACAAATTTTCTTAGTTTACTGTATATGTTTTTCAGAAAGTTTTGAAAGTTTGTGTTCAGTTTTTGTGAATACTGTTGCGAAATACCCAGCTGCGGTAAGATAGCTTCCCCGCAAAGTGGAGTTAGGGTTGCTAGACTTGGCGCTAAGTAGCCCATTTGGCGACACTGGGCGACAAAATTGGCGATATGCTATAGATGGAGTGAGAACCATCTAGGACGCATTCTTAGCGATTTTCTCGAGAGTATTCTAGCAGGTAGATTAAAGCTATATATACTCTGCCTGTACGCGGAGAAAGGAGTGACTTGAGTTCAGAGATTAGCTTGATAACGATGAAATGAGTCTGGAGCTGTATTTTAGTGCTTTGCTGTGAAGCTGTTTTCACCGTTATAGTCTGATAGCCTGAAGGCTCTGTTGCTGGTTGTTTCAAAGTGTTTGTTGTAGCTTTCGTCAACCGTAACGTGTCTTTGGAACTATCCTGTGTAATATCGCATACTGGCGAATAAACTGCACTTTGACTCTTCATTAAGTGTTACCATCAATTACACTAAATCCAAGAACCTGCAGAACGCAACATTAAACGTTAGGATATTGTCGTCACATTTTAGGTAAACTTTTCAATAGAAATGTCCTCGCAATCTCATAATAGAAATGTTCTGTTTGTTGAGTTTGACAACCGGCACTCATTCTGTCTTTGAAATTTTATAACAATTCTTGAATTATAAACCATGTGCCGAAATATGGAAAGGTAAATTAAAATTAAATGCCTTTACTTAAATTCAAAATTCCTATACCTATAACTATGAAGATTTAAGCTTTTTTCTTCAACATAGGCAGGAAGTAAATGTATTCAGCAGTATGGTTTCTCAATCATTCTTAAAAACATTAGATTAAAAACCTTTGCATTTTATATCATCATAACAGTGCATTAACACGTACTATTTACCAAACGTAAGACAGCAGTTCTTGTCTTTCAGTCATTTGTCTTCTGAAGACCTATGTGCTTGACTGTCGTTTTCTCTATGGTTATCGCGAGAAGATATAATCTTCTATGGAATGCATCAGTTTCATCGTCTTCATTTCTAGCAGTATATCAGACTCAGTTCTCTACATTGCTGTTAATTCAAAACCTATACCGAATGGTCCTAAGGCACCCATAATTACCGCGTAATATTTTCAGTTCATGATAAGATTTTAATCTATCCGTCCTTGTTTCTTGCTCTAACATAGCGAATTTAAGCGATAATCTTTCTTCTACACAATCATTAGGTTATACATTGCATGATCTCTTGCTGGAAATCAAAACGTCGATGTTTATGTAAGCGGTCGTTGCGCACGAGTATACTCTTGTGTAATAACCTCATAAATTACATAGGTTATTTATGTTATAAGATTGTTGCGTTCTAGGGGTTCGTGGATTTGGAGTGATTGATGAAAACACTCGATGAAGAACCAAAACACAATTTATTCGCCAGTACTACACAGGAGAGTTCCAAAGACACGTTTACAGTCATCGAAAGACTACGATAAACGTACTGAAAAAAATCAGCAAAACAGATTTCAAGCTATCAGACTGTAACGGTGAAGACAGCTTCACGGCAAAGCACTTTAAAGCAGAACTCCCAACTCGGTTCGGTCGCTCTCAAGCTAATCTCTGAACTCAAAACGCTGCTATTGAACTCATAATAATTTAGATACTCAGCACGATATACTTACTCCGCGTACGAGCAGGGTTTATGTAGCTTTTGACTTGCCTTCGAGAAAATTTTGGGACAAACCGGTAAGAATTTGTTCAAGAATGTTCTCTCTCCGTCTATGGCATATCACCAATTTTATCACCAACTGGGAGATTTCGCACCAAATCTGGCAACCATGCCAGAAAACGGCTGTTGCCAGAAAACGGCTGAGAAAGCTCAGCCGTTTTCTGGCAACCTTAAACCCGTTTTGCGGGGAAACTCTCTTACCGCAGCTGGACATTTCGTAACAACATTTTTTCAAGATAAGCCACAAATATACAGACATAGAATCTACATAAAAATATAATATTGCGAAGAAAAGAATATTTTGTAAATGAACTTTGGTAAAAGGTTTTAATTGTCCCTACCGCATTTTTGATCGAAATATATCATTGCATGTTCTCTTTCCAACTTTCTTTGATTCTTTGGATTTGTTTTGATTTCTTTGTCGAACGTGAGCTGTAGTTGTGACAATCGCGTTAATATAGCTAATTTTTTATTGATTAAAAGCAATTTTTGAAGCAAATAAAAGAAAAATATTTTGAATATATTTTTAAAAAAGGAGTTAAAATATGTATCATAAATGTTGTAGGCGAGATAAGACATGTTAGAGACCAAAAATTTTCAAAAAATGGTAATTTGGGATTTTTGCATTTTCAAATTGTCTACACTTTTATCTTTCAAAAAATATCATACTTTAATCTCTACGAAAAATAGAACTCTAAAAAATTAAATTTGAATTTATCATCAAATGTTTTGATAAATGAGTATTTTTACACAAAAATCCGTTTTTCTTCATTTTTTTCCTTTTTTTTTTTTTTTATATTTGATGTACCTTTTCTCAGGAACTACTCGTCATAGGTATGCAAATTTTTATGGCTTTTTTTATTATATTTCCTAATGTTTATTAAAATGAAAACTTTGTGATAAACTAAGGGAAAAATTTACAAATTTTTGTTTGCAAAAAATTATCTAAATTTTACTGTGCCTAATACGATATTCTAGAAATTACTCTAAAACTAAAATTATTCAATAACTTATTCCAGTATAACGAAAAATGTGTGCTTCATTTTTCCAAAAAATTTCAAACATGTATCTATAGCAGATTTTGAGAAAAGGTACTTCGAAAATGGACAGTTTAATATAGTAGATATAAGGTGTTCCGACTCCTCTTTTAACTGTAAATTAAATTCTTATATTGGTGTACACTTTGTTTCTTGCAAATATATCCTTCAACTGAATTTTGATTACTTATATCAAAATTAAATTAACGAAATTGCTTAACTAAATTATTTAACTTTAATTTAATTTCTAGACATTCCGGATGCTCCTCAGAACCTAGAGATACATGATGTTGCCAGCAGAAGTGTACGCCTGACTTGGAAAAGACCATTTGACGGAAATTTTCCGATAACACGATATACCATTATGTGGAGACAAATTGATGGTAAAGTGATTTGATAGTTTTACATTTTAGTGTATTTTTATGAAGTTATAACAGCAAACTCAGTAACACATAATAATTATTTCAGATAAATAAATTAGACTAATCATAAATAAAGTAACGTAATTAATTTTAGAGAAAATAATTTAAATTTTTGTCTCGATAATAATGTTACTAAATATTTTAATAAAATTTCATTTATATGATACTCGCATCACTTTGATGGAGGACCGATCAGCGAAATTGTTTCTCCATCAAAACTAGTTTTTTTAAAAGCTAATAAATGTAAAAAATAATAAAAGTTTAATTTCAGTTATGCGTAGTAAATGTTTAGAAAATTTAGTTGAAAACTGAGATTGAATTATTAAAATGCTAAATTTAAAACTTAAGTTAAAATTGAGCACTGTGTTAAATAATGAATTATAATTGCTACAGAGTAATTCTCTTAAATACATATCAAAAGCTCTCCATTTTTAATTACTTGTACGGAGTAAAGAAAGTGCGGTAATCGCGAAAAATTTCGGTTCTCAAATTTGAAATGGAAATATCCATTCTGACTGTTTCAGAACCCTTTTTGACTATTATTTTTTTGCTGGTGTCTGTACGTACAGGGCAGAATAAATGACTCTTTATTCCAAAGCGGATTGTAAAATGGATTTAAAAAGGATTTTTTTTCGTGTCGTCCGTATCTTCGTATGTACGAATGCATATGACGTGTCCCAGATAGGTGCATTCATTGGGGAATAACTTGAATTTTGAAGAACTCAGCTGAAGGTTGGCATCTTTCACTTTCTACAACACATTGCTGATATTTTCTAGATGTTCCTTATTACGTCCCACTAGAATGATGTCATCTAGGTAGACCAGACAGCATTCGCAAGATAGGCCAAGAAGCACTGTCTCCATCCCCCCCCAGACATTCAAATATTGCAGGGGTGTTACAGTGCCTAAATGGCATAACTTTAAACTGCCAGAGTTCTCAGCCGATAGTGAGAGCAGTTTTCTCTTTATCATCGGGGTGAATTTCAGCTTGCCAGTATCTGCTCTTAAGGTCCAGAGTAGAAAACCACGTGTGTCCTGGGGTGGTCTAGAGGATCGTCAATCCTAGAAAGAGAGTAACTGCCTTTCTTAATGACATTATTTAGTCTCTGGTAGTCGGCAAAAAATCTTGTCGAGCCATATGTCTTCCGGACGAGAACTATAGGAGATGCCCATTGACTTGTGGATGGTTCGATGATGTCATTTTCTTGCATCTGCTTCAGAAGATTTCCAACCTCTTCTTCGTATCTTGCATAACTGAAAAATGATTAACCATAGAACGTTAAAATTTTATACAGGGGACTGCTATAACATCTAGTCGTGTATTTCTTTTTCTAACTGCGAACTGCAATATGAAAAGTATATAAATCCACCCGCCTTAACCCGGCTTAAAAGTCCTTATCCCGTCTTTATTTTAGCAATCGCTAGCCGTAGTCTTGATTGTGGAAGTGTTTCAAATGACGAAAATATTCTTGTTTTAGAAATGTCAAATTTTAAAGGATTAACTTTGGTCAAATAACGAAATCTAACTTTTAATGCAGTATTCGACTTGAAAAATAAACTTAAAAGAAGCAGGACTTACGTACGACAAGTATTGACCGGGATATTTACTTTTTCGATGTCATTTTCAATTTGCCTTGAGGGATGGGCTAATTAAATTAGAATACTTCGAGAAAATAAGTTTAAACGACGTATAGAAAAACTGTATATAATTTTACACGTTGAGCAAAAAGTTATGTGGTTTACACGTCAGATTTTCTTCATGATATTCAATATTAAGAAACGTCCTCTCAGTTGAGAAACGAAAGTGATGTAGTTTCTTGATTTTGGCGTTGTGGCCTCACTATATACATTTATGTAATGTTCTAATCCGGACGTTAATATTTCAACTAACTATTCAATTATTTTTAGTTTGCAATGTATGATATTTGTACACTTTTGCAAAAAGTTAGTTATCTTTTGCAAAACTAAGTTTTCGGTAGAAAGTGTTTAAAAAAATTATACTACTACTCATTTCGGGAAAAAATGGTACATGAATGTTATTTAAACGGAGCCAAATTTATCATCATGGCACAATTCCAGAAATAGGTGGGTTTAACTATCTTGCATAATTTAACAGTAAAACGAAAAAGATGCTTGCGATGTTATTAAATATTAATAGAAGAACTGCTTCGTTAATTAAAATAAAAATAAAGGCATGCCTAAAGTTAATTATTTATTTCCATGCATTAAATTTGACCAAGTTTTTCAAGCTTTTTGGAATAAAATGTAAAAATAGCGCAAGTGAGGTCGTATAGGCCTTTTTCATAACTAAAGGTATGATACAAATATACAAGGACATGCGTATCAAAAAATGTACTATAAAATGGAAAAAATCAGTGAAGAAAATTAAGTAAGAAATAAGCAATAATTCTCGAAATAATTAAATTAATTTTAATTAATTAAAAGTGAGAAGATTACTGAAGAATGTTTCCCTCTTCATTTGTATCTATTTTTCATCTTTAAATTTGATGTAATTACCAGTACTTTTAATTTACTGACCGTATGAACTTCTTTATAACTTACTAATATATTTTATGTTATTAATATGTATGTTGTTTAATTAACGACGAGTGTAATAGTTAATTATCTGCATTCTTAAAATGCAAAATAATGTTTATAATTTATGATGTTTACTATTTTATGCTGCTTTTATTGCTTTAGTTCAGAGAATAACGAAAGTTAATTATTATAATCTTCATTAAACTTACGTTTTCTGTCTTTCATTAGCAGACGTTTTATTGTATTTAAAGGTAATTTTATTAATACAATTATCTAATTTTAATCATCAATATATATATGCTTATATATTTGTCTATATATAAAAAGTGAAAGAGATTAGGTAAATAAAAAATATGTATATATATTATTTAATTAAAAGGGAATACTCCTATTACAATTCTTATATTTCAAATGAAATTAAGAGAGCTAAGGAAGTAAAAGAACTACAAATATAAATCTAAATAAATTGCAATTTACAAATTCGTAATTTTTAAGCAATATTAAAAAAATTTTAATTTTTAAAATGTATTCAAGATAAAAGTCAAATCGGTAACGAAAAACTGCTTTATTAGCAATGGCCAATAATAATTGATATCCATAAAATTTTGATAAAAATTTGTTAATGATAATTAAAGAAAATTACTTTAAAATAAACAATTGGAAAGATAGTGAAACAATTAGTTTACTTCACACTCCTTTCAACCGTTCAGAGATCGTGTTTTGTCACCGTATTTTTAATTTGCTTTATTTGAGTGAGTTAATGATCTTGTATTTGTTAAATTCAAATTTCATTACTTGCAGCAACGAAGCAAGAAAATTATTTAATTTTAATTTTATTTAACTTTTCTAATTAGTTTTTTTATGTACATGTATTATACATCTAGAGAGAAAGATATATGTATATGTATACATTTAAACAAATTTTAATTTTAATTTTAACAAACACGTATAAAAGTAAAAAAGCAAATTGAAAGCCAAAATAATTTTTAAAAAAATTTTTACAAAATTTTAAAAAAAAAAGAAAACTTAAGAAATTTTTGGGAAATTTCTGGGAATTTTATAGAGGTTTTTTAAGGACTTCGTTTCAAAAAATTTTGGAAAATTTTAGACATTTTTAATTTTACTTTAAAACATTTCAGTTTTACTTAATTACTTTAATTATTTTCACACAAAAAAATTTTTCACTTAACGTTATTTACAATATTTACACAATTTTTCAACAGAACACACATTTTACATTACAAACAGTTTACATTTTTTAATTCACAATACCACTTAACTTTATTTTACTTCAAACACTTACATCTCTTGATTGGCTTAACTCCCTAAATAATTGATAATTACATACCTTTAGGATTTTTAATTTTTTAATTTTTAATTTAATTTTTTCTAGATTTATTTTTTATATTTTTTAATACTAATGTTTGCAAAAAAAATTTTAATATAACAAAGATAGCAGCTTTACACTCAACTTTACCTACATAAGCGCCATCTATATAATTAATTTAAGAACACACTTACTTCTCTTTTAAAACACTTTTGCAGACCCCAACACTCATATAGTAGGTAAGTTAGAATTAAAACTTACTATTTACTTGCTTTAAGTATTTTTTAAAATTTTTTATGTAGTATTTAAGTATTTTCTAAATATGTAATTATATTTTTAAGTATATGTTTGTTTTTTAAAAATTATAAATCAGTTCTTTTTGTTTCTTATTGGTTTATATGGATTATGTATAGTTCCTTTTTAGTTTCCTTTTATTGATATGCATATTCGTGTCGGGGAGGTTTGACAGGTAGACAAAAGTTTCTAAAATACATTGGTTTCTTGATTATTTTTATTTTATGAAAATTAATTTTTTAAAAAAAATTTAATTTTTTTTAAAAAGTTTAATTTAATACTTGACTTTACTTGCTTGTTTCTCAAAAGACTTCATTAGTATTTTCCTTTTAGAACTTTAATTCTTCAATGCTAATTTCTAAGGGTACCACTTTATTGGTATTTCTTTTTGGACATTCTTCAATTTCTACTTTTGGTTTTGACTTTTACCCTTGCCTGCATGAAGGACGAAACACGAATTGAATGATTGGAGAGTTAGGTTTAGAGGCAACTTCCCCTTGATAAGTCTGTCTCCTGCCTACTCAACAGTCAGTCACTTATACATTTTAAAAAAATTGTTTGGATTAATTTTAATTTGCTAAATTAGTGAATTTATTTTCATGGATAGGTTTTGCACTTGATTTGCTTATGCTTCTGAATTTAAATGATATTGTAGATTAGTTCGAGAATTAAATCTTTTATATGTTTGCACATTTTTAAAATTTTTTAAAAATTAAAAAAATTTTTTTTAAAAAAATTTTGGCTTTCTTTTTTAAATTTTGGCTTTCAATTTGCTTTTTACTTTTATACGTGTTTGTTTAATTTAAATTTGTTTTAAATTTAAATTTCATTCTTTGCAGCAATGGCGCAAAGAATATTAATTAAATTTGTATTTAAATTAAATTTCATTAAATTCAATTTATTCTATGTATATGTATACATATATATATATAACCTTCTAAAATGCCTTTATAAAAATTAAGCAGCACTAGGCGCTAATTTTGAACTTATTAATTCTTACGTAATTTTTGTAAATTCCAACAAAGTCTACTTTATTACATATTTTTGTACATACATACATATAGTATATATATATACTTCTTTCTCTCTTTCATTCTCTGTATATATATGTGTGTGTGTATTTGAGTTTTCGGGAATGAGAGTTTCGGGAATATATCTTCTAAAGTGAGTATCCCATTTAGTTGTATTCTTATTGAACACTTTAAATTTAAAGATTATTTGCTATTTATTTTGTTTAACAGGGTTCTTTTGGCTTAAATGGACTATTATCTTTACTTTGATTGAGTATTATTTTGTGACTTGAGATTTGGATATAGTAAAATATTTATTTGCTTACTTGGAAGTAAGACGGAACACTCTTTCTTAATTTAGTTACTTTTAATTAATGTTAGATTTGTTTATTTCCCTTGATAAGTCGATCAATCTGCGATCAATGACAATGGCTAATTTTTCTAAACTTAAAAAGTTTTTTTTTTTTTTTTTTTTTTTTTTTTTGTTTTTGGTAATTTTGCGATTAAAAATTTGTTTGAAGATTTTTATATCTTTAAAGCAAAAGAGGTCTAGAAAATATTAATTAAATACTGACTAAATTTTTTTTTGTTTTCCTAGTTCAAGGTATTTAATTGAATTATGTTCCTTTCTATTCCCTTTTCTTATCAAAAATTATTATGAATTATATATATATATATATATATATATATTAAAATTTTTTTTTTAAAAAATTATTTTGGCTTTAAATTTGCTTTTTTACGTGTTTGTTAAAATTTAAATTTAAATTTGTTTAAATACCTCAATATATATATATATACTCAATAATCCATTAATAAATAAATTATATATATATATATACACACCTAAACAATATAGAGAGAGAGAGAGAGAAAGAGAGATAATTAGTTAATACACTTATCTTAATAAAATTACATTATTTAATATAAAATGTATGAATTTAAGATGAGATTTGAACTTTAAATACTATAAAGAATGATTTTTAAAAAACTAAAAGCGGATAATTTAAAATGGAATCAGTACCTGCTACTTCAAATATTTATATTTTCAAAACCTTTGATTAAAATACATTTAACTGTTAATATGTTTAGGTAAAACAGTGGGAGGACCTCTTCATGTACCCGGAAGTGAAACCACTCTTATCATACGAGGACTCAAACCTAAAACGAGGTACTTCTTCCGGGTGAAATGTGAAAATATCCTCGGAGAAAGTCAATTTGGAGCCGAAGTTGCAATCACCACTCTGGAAGAACGTAGGTATAGAGACTTTTGAGTGTTCCTCTGGTAAAGTGGTCCATCGTCTTACATAAATTTTATCCTTCGGGGCAATACGAAAAGTCAATTCTCTAATGTTCGAGATTTAAAATCAGATCTGATAGGTGTTAATTTAGTTTAATTTTTGTTCTATTTTTATGTTAATTATTAAAGTAATTTTTTTTTCACGCTAGAACACTGATAGATGGTACTTTGACCATTCCTAGAGGTAGTCTTTGCATGAAAACATACTATGTTATGATCTTTATGGACTTCTTATTGAGGATATAATGGTACAAATTTTAACTACCAAATTCAAAATAATTTAGCATATGACTTGGTTTACAAAATGTTGATGACAGTTGGAATGGAATGAGTTAAAGATCACACATCATTTTTATGTATCAAATATTTTTAAAGTAATTGATTATTAGTCAAAAGTGGCAAATTGCCCAGAAGGATTATTAATTTCGTTTTGGCATTTTGCGTTGATTCACTATAAGCCTTGTTTCACTTTTCAAATTGTTGCCACCAAATAATATATTTAAATATTATTTTATATTTAAATACATTACAAATAATGAAGAATATGCGTAAATGTATGTATGTTTCTCGCATTGTGATAAAACAACAGTACCTAGAGCCATCCAATTTTGATAAATGTAATCCTACTCCGAATATGGGCATCTGGAAGCCCAAACTTGGAATTTGTTTTATTATCGATTTCATATTCTTTTAAAACTTTAAAGAATTTTTTATTAACAAACTCGGATTTCAAAGCGAGCAATTGCAACACTATACGAAAAAAAAAATTATCTCCAGCGCGCGAGACTGTGTATCGTAAATTCTAAAGATATGCTATTTTTAAATTATTTTGCGACAAACCTCTTGAACTGAATTTTATTGTTTAAGTGCGAAGAACATGATATTTAATAAACAAATGTACCACATAAATCGTTAAAAAAATGCCCCTTTGGGCGTAATCTAAAATATGATAGATTTCAGACTTTTTGTTTTTATTGAAATTATTTTGAGCAATCTCTACATATAATAAAAGAAAGTGTCTGTGTGTGTTTGTGTCTTTCGCTTTCGCTGCGCGTAAGATAATAGACCCACGGCTACGAAATTTGGTACATAGGTGCATCTAGACAAGAGCCAGTGCACTCGAAGCGATTTTTTCGAAATTCGAATTCGAATTTTTTTTATTGTGACGAAATCGTGTCTTGCGAACTTAAAATAAATTTCGTCTTTCAATAAATCGATTAAATATGAATTTATTAACAAAGTGAGCTTAACACATTTTCAACGGAATTTATTTTTAAAAATGTACAGTTTACTTTTCTTTGATTTTTGGACACGTTAAACTTTCATTCTTGCGACTGCTTTTACAAAAAGAATTTTTGAAAAATGATAATATTTTGTATTTTTAATTTTTTTTAAATGAAGCATCCGCGTACACTTCTCACATCTCACATCTTTAAAAATGTGATTTTGGTAACAATTTTCCCGTCTTATTGTTATTGATAGATTTTTGATGAAATCGCATCATTTTGAATTGCTTCATTCTTTTAGAAATATGGGTTAACAATTTTTCATCGTATTTCTTATGTCACTGTTTTTAAGAGATTGGTATATTTCATTGTCATTTTTACATATATAATAATACATTTTACTGATTTTTTTTATAACGTTGTTCTGCAGAGTAAAATTCTCCGGGGAATTTTATGTTTTTTGAGTTGCTTTCATGTTATTTTTTGCTTATTTTACTGTTCGTAAGATACTGAAAAGTTTTGCATGATTTTTTTTCTTCAACGGAAAGTTAATTTTTTTATTAGGATAATTAATATTTGTATTAAGGGATATAGCTTATTTCATTGTAATTTTTTTCTCTTGAAAATATGAGATAAAATATCATTAACTATACTTTGCTTTTCAGAATGTTTTTGTTTTTCGTATTCTTTTATGTTATTTATTGCTCATTTCACTGTTTTTCAGATATTGAAAAGTTTTGAGTGATTTTTTTAAGAAACAAATGTTCTTTATACCATTTGAGTTTTTAAGATTTTGCAAAGGGAAGTTGGTTAATTTATTTATTAGGATAATTAATATTTGTATTAAGAGATATTGCTTATTTCATTGTAATTTTGTTATACGTAATAACTTTTTTTTAATGAAGTGGTTCTGCAGAGTAAAATTTTATGCAGTTTTTAAATTTAATGTTTGGTTGTTCCCTTCAGCCATTTTCCCGGTACATTTAAAAGCCAGACGAAAGATGGCAGCGAAGCTGCTAGTAAATAAATATTTGTGGCACATTTCATGGTGGCATTTGTATTCTCAAAATCGTCACAATACCGTTTTAAATGCAGGATCTTTTCTAGATGATTATCAATTGAAACCTAATTTCTATCTCTTCAATTGTCGTTCTGTAGTTAATAATACAACTACATTTTGTTTTAAAGCATAAAATTCATGAGATTAGCATTCACTGAAATTGAAATCAGATTAAAACCATTTGAAATAATCCTCGAACAACGGTAGGGAAGTTTGGTATCTGGGATTTCGAGATTTTTTATTAATTGAACTAGCCGCTACTCGGCCAGCCTTCGTCTGAGTTTTAAATGTACTAGCAAAATGCCTAAAAGGAACGCAAAACATTAAATTTTAAAACTGCACAGAAGTTTACTCTGCAGAACAACTTTATAAAAAATCTGATGTGTACACCAGATGACTTGCACGGACTACTAATTTATACGCATTTTTTCTTGCATTTCATTTAAACTTACCAGATAGAATTACATTTACATCTTCGATACCACATAAACCACAATAGAATAAATGCACTCTTTAAAATTCACTAAATTTGTTTACCATAGCGACACTCTGGCGCTAGGTACTCAGAATGCAAATAATTTTATATCATTTGAAGAATTACCTAATCGTTGCCACATTTTTTTCTATTCAAATACTATAATAAATCTAAAACGATGTATAAAAGAAAATAAGCAAACAAAACAGAAACGAAACAGTTTTTCACAGACGATTCAGTATTTCTCATTCAATTAATTCAGTTCTCACTTCCCGACAAGGCAAAAATACATAAACTCAAAATATCTATATTAAAAATTACGAAATAAATCTGAAACACTTATTTCCTCGAATAAATTCCAGAATGAATTAAGCATGATTTAATTCGCAATAATAAAAGAAGGCGTTATGTTTATTATTGCGAAGCTTAGTTTCTCTAGAATGGCAACAAATTCGCTATTTTGCCAAGTTTGAAATATAAGCAAACACGCCCGCAATCCGCAAAATTCATTAGGCTTAGTGGAAATTAAACAACTTTTAAGTTGTTGATTAATTCCACAAATATTGCATGCAGATTTACGAAAGCCATAAAACCCTTAACCGGAAAATAAGAACCAACCACATAATTCAATCATTTTTAAAGCAAAATATGCACAATTTACAAACATATAAGGATAAAGAAACTGACGAAAGTAACAGAGTGAATATATATAAAAATATATTTATAAACGCTTGGTGCGGCCGACTGAAACCAAAATATGAGGTGCACATCTACATGTTATAGCAGTCCCATATACAAAATTTCAGCGTTCTGAGGCTACTCGGTTTTGAGTTATGCGAGGTACATATGTACATACGTACATGCAGACACCACGAAAAATTCACTTTAAATCATTATTCATCAAAATTAGAATTCATTTTAAGCAATTTTTATAATTTTTTGTGGGAAAAGAGTCTTTTATTCTGTTCTTACATGCGGAAGTCACGCAAAAACATAATTAAATTGCATTGGATAGCGGTCAAAATCGATATTTTCATTGAAATATGATATCCGAAATTTTTCGCGATTACAATACTTCCTTTTACTTCGTACAAGGAAGTAAAAAGCAAACAACAACAACAAAAGAAAAAAACATAAATTTAATGTATATAAAAAATAGAATGAAATAAGCAATATCCCTTAACACAAATATTAATTATCGTAATAAAGAAATTAACCAACTTCCCGTTGCAAAATCTTAAGAATTCAAATGGTATAAAGGAAGTTAAGAACTGTGTTTCCTAAAAAATCATGCAAAACGGTTTTATAATTAAAATTATATAAATTTAAAATATAATATTAAAACATTAAAATGAAATAAGCAATATATCTCATATTTTCAAGAGAAAACAGTCAGCAGTCCAGTATCCAAAGCTATGAATGAAAAACTGTTGCCAAAACCACATTTCTAAAAGAATGAAACTATCATCAGAAACCAATAACCAATAAAAATTATACTTTCAGGATGACATAGTTCAAAATATACAAATCTCTTTGCCATTAGCTAATAAAGAGAGAGAGAGAGGGGGGGGAACAGGAAATACTTTCTGTTTTACCTCGCAAGACACATGCGCGTCAGAATAAGAATATTGCGATCTGCGTGTTGCCTGTATAATTAATAATATTTTATCTCATATTTTCAACAGTCAGCAGTCCAGTATACAAAGGAATGAATGAAAACCTTTTGCGAAAACCACATTTATAAAAGAATGAAACTATTGAAAATGATGCGATTTCATCAAAAAAAGATAAAATAAAACAAATCTGATTCGAATTTGAAACATCGCTTCGAGGTGCACTGGCTCTTGTCTAGATGCAACTATGTACCAAATTTCGTAACCCTGAGTCTATTAGCTTACGCTCAGCACGAATGGAAGACGCACACTCAGACAGACTCTTATTATACGTAGAGATTACTATCGGACAATCCCGCCAAGCAAAATGTGTAGTTTCTATGTACACCTGAAAAGAAAATGCATAGAAATATATCAATGAATAAATTCCCTCATTCTTTCCAAGGAGCAAAAAATTCGCAAATATTTTTTTGTTGCCAAACGAGGAAACAAAACATTTTGACATCTCAGGTTAATACGTATGACCTCATGATTTAAATTTGATGTAATATAACAACTTTTTTTTTTCAATATCAGTAAA